CGGTAGGAATCATCATCCTTAGTGTTTCTTTTATTGGTAAAAGCTGGCTAGTAAGGTGAGAATTAAGGTATGCATTATTAGCTATTTAAATGTTCGTGGTAAGTGCTATTGTTTATTACCTATCAGTAAATTACATGAATATTTTGCTTTAGTGATCAGCATTTGTCTGGGTTAGTGATCATTCCGATGATAGTATTGGCTATTTTGTTCCATGTTAAGAAAATGCTACTTGGAATCAGGTTCACAAATCCTTACCTCCAGACACCGATGAGTGAATAAACCAAACTGTCCTGAGGTGATGAATCTGATGACTGATTTTATTTAAAGGAGTTGGGTTTTTTGTTTGTTTTGTTTTTTGTTTTTTTTTTGCACGTAGTAGTACAAGTATTCACAAGTGCTTTTCACAGGACATTTGTGAGCTGTGTGTGCAAAGAAAAGATGGGTGTTACAGATAGGATTTCAGCTTGTTGACTGTAAAGGATTTACAAGGGCACACACTATTACTACATACCACAGACAAGAAGCAAGCCAAAATGTCTCTCTGCATGTAAGCATGCCTAGGTGCAATATTGTGGATAACAGGGAACAGATGTTTTACAGTGTAGGCTTAATGTTCACTTTTGTTGGGTTATTTTTGGTAAAAGTTTCTTTCATGATTGTTGCCTTTTGTACAACCCAGCTGCAAGAAAGTGAGCAAATGCTGGAAGTGTTACAGCAGTATATCTTTTATGTGAAATATCTTGTACAGCTTAATGTGCAATAAAAGAAAGTTATATCTGTCTTCAGTGTAAATTTTCTGGCATTCAAGCCTGTATGTGCAAGTGGGGGAAAAAAAAAAAAAACTTTTCTGTTTTTCAATACTGAGTGAAGGGAGAATAATAAGCAAACAGTCATTGTTAAGTTGTTGCAAGACCATGTTATCACCTTCAAATATTTCCTACAAAAGTGATTCAAATTAATAAAAGATGAAGGCACATTCCTTAACATATAGTACATGCCACGTATCTTTCTACACCACAAGACACTGCTACAAGTAACTATATTAGAGCTTCTTAAAGCATTAGTACGTACACTGGAATCTCATATGGATAGAGAGCTAACTATAACAGCATATTTTAGAAAGAACACTCATATTACAACAGTATTTCCAGATATGAGCTTTTTTTTCAGAGACCTGAGTAGATAAAATCTTTTACTTGTGCTAAATAGATGTAATACAGAAAATTTCCAAATGTTCAGAATATCTAGATCTGTTGTATAGTATTTACTACTCAGCAAAGCTCTTATCCTGACTGGAGCATTCAACAAGCATCTCAAAATTCATCCTGTTCTTTCCTCTGCTTAATTCAAATATGCTGTGAGCCTTGTCACATGCAAGAATAAAAAGTCTAACAGGTAACTGACCCAAGAAAGCCACTTTCAGACATCTGATACAAGATAAAATCAGTAACACGCAGTTATTTGACACAGCACAATTTCAGTGAGAACACCAAAAACAACCATATGATGATGCAGCATCTTTCAGCAATGGATTTCACAATCTAAGTATCTACTACATGTGCTAGTTCCACATTTCTTACAATATTTTGCTATGTACTTCCTTGTAAGGGGAAAAAATATATTTGGTAAAGAATTAGTAATGATTTTCTTCTGTTTTGTGTACTGTTCTTAACATTTAACTCTTTAGTGTAATATAAGTTATCAAAAGACAGAATTAGCCAGCAAATAACAATATAAAGTTGTTATATTGCTATAGGAGTGAATCTGAAACACTACAAAAATAATTTTAAAAATTCGGCGGAACAAAATTGCAGTAACTGCACAGCAAGCAGTAGATGTACTGCTGAAAAAGATATTGTTGCTATATTCCATTCTCTCACAGGCTATCGTTGAGCTGACCCCAAATTATCATGTTACTCCATTGATTTTAGTTGAAGTCAGTAAAGCTACAGCTGGTCTAAATTTGGTACTTCTTAGCAATTGTAAGGATGAAGCATAGAGGGCTCCAAGCAAGTTATTAAGGTACCAAGTGTGTGTTGTGGTATTCAGTACATTGAACTGCAGTACATATTAATTCATATTAATAGAATTTTGCCTCAAAAGTAGAATTAATAAAATTCTGATACTATTTTTAAGTGTTGGATATGAAATCTAATGGGAAGTCTGTGATACTATAACATTATGAAGTTTTTCTTGTACTGAACCTAGGGGGCCCAGTGCAACCCCAAGGAATGCAATCCCAAAGCCAGGAGCCATTGCAGCCACAGCGCATGTTCCCCCCTGGGCAGGCAGCAAAGCCCTCAGCTTCCCAGCCCCAGCGCCCACCTGGACCTACAACGCAGCAGCCGCGTGCCCAGGCGCCAGCTCCCTCCAGCAGCCGGTTGTCAGTGGAAGCAGAGCCGCAGCCACAGCCCGCTCCGCAACAGAAGCCTCAGTCTCATCCGCAACTTAAGTAAGATGTGCTTTATCAGCTTTCTTTTCTCCTTACAATATAATTTGATTTACTGTCTAGCTGTAACTTCAGAGCTAGTCTAAAATACAGAAAAATGCTTTTATATGTTCCTAAATGATGTTAAAACTTCTTTTAAAACTTAACCTCTGTTAATGACAGCATACTATTCGTTATATTCTAAGTACTATCCAGTGTTTTATTAATCAGTTGCATATTTTCTGCCCCAACTAGGTCAGATTTTAAAACTCATCATCTTTTCTCATATCCATTTTTTCCTCTTTTTTATGTCACTGACCGATGATCTGACTGTGCTGCAAGCCTGCACAGGAAAGAGGAAGTCTCACCTATTTCAATTTTTAACCTTGCACTCACTCAAACAGCAGATTCCAGCTTTTAAAGGCCTATCTCAGGAACAATCTAAATGAATATGCTAGATACAGGCTGCCAAACTCTGTGTCTTTACAGTCACATTTCTTTCATGCTTATGCCTTGCCACTGAGCAGCCAGCACAAGCAGTACACACAGGTGCTTTGCAGGGAAGGTGGCAGGACACGCAGAATCCTCATACACACGCGATCATAGTGCACAGTACATGACTGCTACATCCAGCCTGCCACCTGCTACAGTAAGGAATGCAGAAAGGATCTCTAGCTGTGAATCTTTTCACAGTTTTAACTCAATAAATGGAAAACACGAAGCAGGTAATAGCAATGATTCACTGTTTCTTCACGTAGTGATCCTGACACACAGTATTGCCAATAAAGAGTGAACGGTGCAGTCTACTCATTTTGATAACTACCAAGACCAGCATGTAATCTTTGCTTTATCCGAGCAAAATGCATCCCCCCTTTCTACCCGCCCATATACTAATACCAGTGGGAACCAATTTGGAGTTCTTGCCTGAGTACAATTCACTGACTAGACTTTTTAGGTAGCAAGATGCAAGGATGGCTACTTCTGAATAAAGTGTTTTCCTAGGACAGTGCATTTATTCTGGTTTATAGACTTAGAACTCAGATCAATTCACCATTATTTACGTATACATGAAGAATAGGTGGGTTAGTTTTCATAAGAAAGATAGAATACTATAATTTAGTTTGGGAAAACTTGTGAATGTCTGACATTTAAGAAAAACAGAGTTACTACATACAGTTTTCCAGTCTTCACCTTTCTCTTAAGTCCCATCTTCAAATCCAAGTTCATTCATTTTTTTATGTTCGTGAAATGGAAAAGAATAGTCTCTACTTAAAAGATTTTAAGGAACAAATTAAAGTTTTTAAGATGCAAGCCATAATAGGAGTAGATTTTTTAACTTTTCAAGAAGCAGTTTAGGTCCACAAGAAGAGTCAAATCTCCTGCCTCTAGGACTAACTCTATTTGCATGTGCATGCTTTGTATTCACCCACATGCTGTTGCTTAACCTGTATGTACATGTTATTAATCTATGAATAAATATTTAATTAGGCTACTTATTGTGTTACTAATCAAGTCAAGTGCTGCTTCCCACCCTCCCGCATTCAGTGAGTACAAACAAACATTTATCAGTCTATTCTCATTAACACAACTATAATTTATGAAAAACCTAAAATGCCTGTAGCACTGTTTGCTGTACATTATTAAAGGTAGAGAAGTAGCAAACCATAGAGGGAATAAGATAATCTGAATAAGAAAAATATTTTAGTTTTACTATAGCCAAGATTTCTGTTATACTGACCCAAAAATGAAGTTAATAGCTACCTAAACTAATGCATAGATGTCATTGTAAAAAGATTGTAACTCAATAATTTGTACCAGCTCAATTCAAGCTTACTTTTTAAAACTTACTTTTCTTGACAAGTCATGAATTAATCTGGAACTTCAGACATTTTCCTTCCACTATGTTATGTTACTAATGCTCACATAGAGGCTTCCCACGTTACATGATAGCAGTAAAACCAGAGCAGCATAGCTAGACTACTCAAGATCTAATTTTGTGAATTCCTTTCAAAGATACAAAGTGTCATTGAGTCTCCATAAGGATCAAATGCCCAAATACATGACAACTTTAGGACACATCTTCAAATTCTCTCTGATGCACCACTTTTCTTTATGCAATAACTGTTCACAGCCTTTAGGAACACATCTAATGATCCCAAATATGTTGGGTTTCTCATGTGGTGATTTGGATTTAGCAGCAGGTCTAGTTTTTTTCCCCAAGTCCTACTTTACATCATCTGATTTACTGGGATCCAGTGTTTCAGATCTGTAAAAAAAAAGCGGTGTATTCTCCAAAGAAAAGATTTTCCTCCATCTTAAATCCAAGTATGGAAGGAATGTGTTGTATTGCTGCAGCTCTGCATGCTGCATCTAACTATATCGCTTGTGTGAACATCTATTTTGTTCAAATGCAAATTGTTTTCATCTTATAAAAAAAAATTCCTTTTCTCAGAATTTATACAAATTATACTAGCTATATGTGGACAGAAGCTGGCAGATAATATGACCATACAAAATATGTTGTGTTTTTGTCTTGCAGCAAGTCGCAGTCTTTGACAAATGCCTTCAGTTTCACAGAATCTTCCTTCTTCCGATCATCTGTGAACGAAGACGAAGCAAAAGCTGAAACTATTCGAAACCTGAGGAAATCATTTGCTAGTCTTTTTTCTGATTAACCAGCTTCATCTAATTGCACACAGCATATAGTCTATGATGTGAATGTTATATAGGTTTTGTTTTCCCTGTGATAATACCCACCTCTACTGTGCTAACTGTTGTACTAAGCAATATGTTAAACTTAAAAAAAAAAAAAAAAAAAAAGGAAAGAAAGACTTTGATGAGATACCATTCAGGTACAGTATATACAAATGTACAAACAAGGAAAGGCTCTATTACTAATAAAGAATGCTGAATTTTAAGGTCCTTATCCATTGTAATATTGTGGCCTTACTGTGACTGAACTGTATCATCCCATTTGAGACTCCTTTGTAGAACTGTGTTAATAAGGCATTGAGCTATGGGTTTCTCCTTGCTTTACCCATTCCCAATGCATTGCAATGCATGTGTATTTTGTGTGTAAATGTTTTGTACCGCAAGAGTGTAGTCTTTACTTGTTCTTGCCTCCAAAATTTAAAAGGCAGTTCTCACTGAAATTCTTGTCAAGCCTCTTAAATAGTGTGAGAATTTGAAGCATTTTCTTCCTCCTTAAACAATCTTTCATAAGCTGATTGTAGACTTCTGATGTATTGCTGAGAGTTATCAGTACACTAAATTAATGTCATAAATGGAGTGTGTATATGTACCACTGTATCTCCTTGTGTCTACTTAAATTTATTTCCAAATTGTAACCATAACTGATTCTAGTTGTAAAAAATCTGCATGATGTAGCCCTTATTTTTGTGAAAACCTTCTAATAAATGTAAAGTCCCATGCTTGATTAAAAAAAAAAAAAGTGTCCTACAAAGCTTGTTTCAACAACTGTAAATACTATATATTTTGACTGATACCAAAAGTGTACTGATGTGATTGCAGAATATTTGGACACAAACCATAACCGTAAGAAAATAGAATGTCATGTGTGTTTCCTTTTTAGATGGCATCATAAGAAATGTAACTTTTAGGAATCAGATTTAAATTTTCTAACAGTTTATATTTTAAAAAAATATTTCTCTAACTTGTTAAAACAGAACTGATTCCAGAGTTGGAGGTGACAGCAGCATTTTAAGAAATTTATCATGTCATTCTGCCCATCATGAATTGCATGCAGTAATATTCCTTGCCAGGAAACAACGGTATCAGGGAAAAAAAGAGAAAACAACTGTAATATTAACATGTCTGAGGGATAAAATGGTAACACAAGGTTAACTTACTGAAAACAGTATGGAATTTTAATGGATTTGTACATCTTTCTGCCTAAGAAATTGTATTTCTTATAGATCTGGTAGCGTCAGTTTATGAAGTGTAGGAAATCACAGTCGCCCTTTGACAACTTAAGTCCTTTCGGATTTAGCTTCCTCTGAATGGCAAGCCACATTGTAGGCCAAGGTTGGCAGTAAAACGTGGAAACTTTAATTTTCAGTGATGTCAGAATTAAATTCATACATCAACATCAGATAGCTCTTTTTTTGTCAAAGTTTCTAAGTTGATCTTAGCAAATATCTTTCCTGAAAAGCAGGCACAGCCAAATCTCAGTTAATACAACTGACACCAATTTTATACTGTCAGTGAGGACTGACTCAATGTGGTAGTTGAACAATCATACCTAGAATAGTGCTTTCCTCCAGGTTAAGGCTAAAATTACTTTATGCGTAAGTTTGCCCTACAACAGCACAAATACTTAAATACATAGCATTGCCCTCTATAGAGTGGAATCGCAGTGCCTTCCATCTGCGAACAACCCTTTTACCCTCGTGGAGCAGGCCTCAAAGATAAACCCTCTCTTTGAATTAATGGTACATATCTTTCACTTCAGGAGCAACATGTTGTGCTTAGAAGCCTGTAGTTTAGACCATGAATTCTGTCACAAAATAAAAACACTTTAACTGTTAACAGTTTTTTTACTGCATAGGCATGTACTGCTTTTTTTTGCTTTTTTTTAACTTTTGCTCCCTTCCTACCACCCCCCCGGCTTGTTTGAAACACCCTTCACTGCGTGTCTGTAACAACCCTTTCATGTCTGAGAAGCACTTTACTTTTAGATTAGAAAGATTAATCAAAGTTGCTAACGCAAATTAATTACTGCTACAGAGAAAGCATAGCAATTATGCATAGTTTGGCATGGTTCATGATTAGTACATGCCTAGTTCCAGCAATATTTAGTACAATATGAATTACAAGTAGTTCATTAGTCCAGGTCCCAGATTACGACTTGAGGCAAAGTTTCTTGTTCATAAAAAATTCCCTCCCACCTCTTCCTGGGAGAAAACAGGTTTCACTATAGTCTTTGTTTTACCATCTGCAAGAAAGAAAAAAAAAAGAAAGAAAATAAAAGGAAAAAAGAGAGCAAGATGATGCAATCAAATCTGCATGGTGTATCCTCCCACACAATGTACATAACACATCGCCTCTCCACAATGCCAAAGCTTCTTTATACCTCCAAGCATGCTAAAGCGTGTCATGTGCAAGTTGATGCATGCTTGTGTTCCTGATGCAGTGTTTCATGGTTAAGACGTTTTTAAGCAGTCTATAATACCCCTCCAAAATACCAATGAGACAAAAATATGATTTTTTTTAAAAGGCTCTTCCATCATTTTTGGTCCATTTTTTCTTACTTCTTTAAATAAATTATCTTTTAAATTTGTATGCAAGTTCTAAATACCCAGTTATCCAATACAATATTATCTAGGGTTGCATAAACACAGAAACATATGAGTGCCTGTGGTTGTTCTGCTTTTTGAATACTAGCCTGGGAGCCTGAAATCTGTATTTCATTTGCACCTTTCCCCTGGCAATGCAGACTGTGAAACCACTGGTCTCTGTGCACAGTACTGCATTTTTTTTTTTAATCTTCTGTATTGTAGTAAAATAGTACTAAGGTACTCTGTAAATATTGTGTGTACTTTTTAGGCTTTTGCTCCACAAGAACAAAGTCACTTTTCTGAGGTCCTAGCCAATGAAGAGATAACATAAAACTCCTATTTACAAAACTGAGTCAGTGCATGCTTGTGCATTGACAATGTTCTTGCCATCTTGGGCTGAATACTGCAGATAAATCTGTTAGCAAGTTGTCCCTCAACAGCAGCTGCCAGCAAGGTGGTTGGATGCAAGTGGCTGAATGAGTCCGGCTGTTTAGGGCCATTTGAGATCTCCTCTCATGATGCCTATCTTCGTAACCCAGATAGTCACACAGTTTGTCAGCTTTGATACAGGCTCTATAGGAGACGCAGTAGTTGGAGGCAAGAGAGGCTACACAAGAGTATCAGAAACAGAACCAGTTGCCTATGTTTGAGCACTGAGATTCCTCTTCAGGCTGGACGCTCAGCTATCTCATCCCTTGTAACCATTAAGGCATGGAGTAAGAGGCTGCTTAGGTAAGCTTACATAAAGCTTTCTTCTTCCCCTCTAAAAACACCGTCAAGCATGCCAGTGCTGCAAACTCAACCATCTACGAATTTTGATCACTAGTAGAGTTTATTTTCCAATACCAAAAATAACTAGGATTACTGACTCACAGTAATTTAAGAAATACAGTCTAAACTGGCATAAATGCCAGCACAGATGTATTTATTAATCACAATATGTCTCTAACATGGATATTATTTTAGATGTATATTTCTAAACAAGGAATTATTGATATTGTCTGGAGTATCAGCTTAAAAATGTGGATGTGATGTTTAAAACATGGATCCACTTCCCATAGCAGACTTTTAGGACAGGGTGTGCATTATGAAGGAGAAGGGGATCAAGTTTTACAACTAAATCTTTGTTCTGTACTAGTGGTGGATAGCAACAGAAACTGAATAAAATGTGTGCTAATCTGATGAAACGAAGTGCTAACAAAGGATTAATTGGGAACTCAACTCTTTACACCTGGCTTGTGTTACCATGCTCCCTCTCCTTCTAACCATGTTTGTTTCACCCATATGTGCCTGTTTTTCTGATCAATCCCAACCAGCCATTTTCTACTTTAAGAATTTATAAATCGTCAGGAGTAAGGATTCTGTTTAAGGGCAAATTCTTGAGTTGTTTGTATCTTTTGGTACTGCACTATACTTTCAAACACTGGAGACATCTTAAGTAAGTAATGAATAATTAAGCTGATTTTTTTTTCCTCTGACTTTCTTACTGTGACTGAAGTGTTGGATAAATAATTATGCTGAATTTGAAAGTCCTCAAATAAGGGATTTAAAAAAGTAACTAGTTGGATGAGAGGCAAGGGTAGGAGGGGGTAACAGCAGAGCATATAGGTGCCTCCTTCACCCCCTTTTAACTGGGCACTAATTAAGTAATACTTACCAAAAATTTACTTTGAACTCTGAAGTGATGGAGATACCATACTCGGGAGATACCAGTTACAGATTTAGTGAAATACTCAAGAAAGAGTTACATAATGACAAAGCCCTTCAGGCACATGAAGTTAAGATTAACAAAATCTGTGGTTCATCAGCATTCTCTGTGTCCTCTTATGTGACTGTAAATAATAATAATAAAAAAACTCTAAAAAAGTGTGAGTTTAATTTTACTTTATCTCAGAACATTGCAGACACCAAAAGGATCAATAGGGACCATGAATAATAATTTTTTAGTGGTTTTGCTGTTAAAGAAAAACAGGAAGAGCTGATGTTCTTTTTTCCCCACCTTCCAGGTGGGTGGGTGAAATTGATGCCATTTCAATCTTTTGAAATTTTGTGTTTATGGGAACAGAAGCTGTTGGGCAAAATTTCTCAGTTAATCAGAAGGGGCTGTCCATGAGAGAGAATATATTTATCTCATTCCCACCCACTGTAATAAAATAGGTGTGCATTTTGCAGCTTCACTCATAACACACCTCTTCCCCTAAAGTTATGAGGAATTTTAACATACAAAGAAAAGGGGCCGGGGGGGGAAAATGCAACCTTTCTGTGTTTGCAGAATTGCCATAAGCTAGCACCTCACTTGCCAAGTGTGCTCTAACTGGAGATGAAGTCTACAGATCTCTCAAACTGATGATTATGCAAATCTTACAGATGGACTCTTCAAACAGTAGATTATCTTGATTATTTTTATCATCACTGAATACTTCATGGCTTTGGTGGTTTAAGCTGAAGTACATAGTCTCTGCTTTTCGCACATCTTTTCTTTGCAAACTGCATTAATAATGCC